TGTCATTGAAAACAACCAAAACAATATGAGCGTGAAAAAGACCGCTGACAGTGAATGTCAATAGAGACGAAATTGATCGAGAAGATATGTACAAATTTAATGGTTGAAAAAGTGATTCTTTAAGAATAGTACCAATGATTTGATTGTACCGTTGACCCCAAAATTCACGCACTGATTGAGATAGAAACGGGAAATTGTTCAATGCTTGCATTGTATATTGATCTCGAGTAATCATTCGGACGAGAACTGTTTCAAGATCAATTACATAGGAAAATGTCAGTATTGATATGAAATAAACCATGACCCGTATATGACTATCATTTGCTTCGCATATTAATAACCATTTGTGTATCAATCGATTAAGTAGAAATTTTATCACAGCCGAGAACAAGTGAAACATAACTGACCACTGTTTTTCTTTTACTGAGCAAGGTTTTACCAGAAAATAAATCCACAAACATTTGCAAAGAAAGGAGAGAAAAGTTTGAGACTGATCGAGAGATAAAACGACCAAATGAAGAAGACGAACGCACATCATCCAATAACATGCTATGCCAAACACAGACTGAATATCATGTGGAGGAAGATTTCGAGCACCAGCATCAGTCAAGATAATACAGGGTATCAATGTTAGTACACCTCGAAGTAATAGGTGATTAATACGACGAATAAAATAAAAGCTTAAAATGAAGTGTAGAAGCCACCCGGAGTTGATTAAAATCAAACTTTGCATGTTTGTTTCAAAATTCTATTCTATGTTATGAAACAGGCGCTGACAACCAGGTTTTTCAACTTTTTCATTTTCATGAAAGAACACAATAATTTATCATTCTTATCTTTTCTGCGCTATTATAACATGACATTGCGAATGTAGATGTTTACCTGCACTTTGACATCATTTGCATTGTGTATAGATAAGCACGATCTGCAGGACAAAGCTGATGTCTTCAAAAGTTAAATTTTGTACTCGAAAGCTCGACAGACATCTCAATAATTCTTTCTATTGTACGGCGAATCATAATTGGTAAAAGAGCGTGTACGGCTTTGTTCATTAGCATCTATTCATGTTCGGTCAAACATTTTCGTAAAAACAGAAAAATGTTGTATGAGAAAGTGTTGCTTTGACGAATGGCTTTGCTGCTATCGACTTCAATACCTGAAAGCAAATCTTTGCATTTAGAATCTCCGTCCTAATTGTACTTTTAAAGAACTTCCCGAGTTGAACGCAACAAGCGAAGAATTATCCTTATGATCGACGGTAATTAACATAATCAAAATAAAAAAGTATGTAAGCAGGAAGAATTTCACGTTTCAAAAGAAAAGTTTCTTTAATTACACTTTACCAAGATTTGGTTTCCAATAACAATCATCTAGGATGCTTTTTGTAGTCATTCGGTGTCTTGTTTTAGATTAGAGTGAAATCTACAATGAGAAAACTCCATTGTCTCAATGATGATATCATTCCATTTGAACTCATATACACTCTAGCCGTGCATTTTCGGACAAGATTCGGTAGACATCGGCAGTGCTCTCGAAAACTCGTGACAAGAAGTAGAAACATATTCATCATTTGGATAATCTAAGTGTTTTGAAAACGTTTACTACATTGTTGTGAAGCTACTCGTACGATTCTGCTTACTATTGGCGTTAATTCGTGAAATAGTAGATTGGCGGTTGTTCGCAAGCTAAAGTGTCTTGAAAACGAAGTTGACTCCTCTCACTCTGTATGTTTTGACGTATCAAGCCATTTTTTTCGATAACTGAAGAAAAGAACTGCTTTTTTGTTCTCATACTTCATAAGAACTTTTGATAAATGAATTACGCCATTTTCTCTGAACTTTCAATCATCCAGATGAACTATTTTAACACACTATGACTCTAAGTCTTGATTTTCTCCGGGTGCTCGGTATAGATCTTCAAAATACGCATTATGTGCGGTACACAAGCGAATATGAAGATTATAATACTGTGCACTGATACTAAGTTGATATTTTGACGTATGCTAGTATTCATCATCGTCTTAACTATTTACACCGGAAGGAAGAAGAGCGATGAATTGCTGTGAATACAAATAAACTGTCAACAGGAAGACCAACTCGTTAAATGTATAGTGTAAAATGGATTGAACACTTCAGAAGATGCTCAGCTCAGCGTATGTATACGATTCTCATTGTCGACACGTCCATTTGTAATCAAGCATGCAATAGACATTAGAAAGATACGATATTTTTTGCCACCAAGAGAGTAAATTTTTTTATACAACTGACGTGAGTTACAATGTTTCGTACCATTTATCGAGTTAATACTGAATATGATGGACAGATTTTATATTCGTTTTCTTCATGCATGAATGAAAATTTGTAGTATCTCATGCGTAGCACAACTCATCTAAAAGTTACTCCTTAACAGAGAACTGCAGAAAACTATTTGACGCAGTATGTTATAACAATGTCTTTTTTTGTCCGATCTGATTAATCAAACTGTTTACTTGCAACACTTTTGTACCCTTCGCCATATTCGAGCGTACGAGTGAAACTAAGTCGAAGAACATATTGATCGTTTATCTGTTCGACAATGCATGATATACATAGGTGGCTTACACTACCACCGACGCTTGAATGTCGGAAAAATATCTTCCTCTAGTTGTCATGAGTGGACATATATGTTTCTTTGCCCTCATTACTCATCTAATATTTGAAGATACAGCTTTTCATCGTTTCTATTAACGCCAAACTTAGCACTATTTGGGTTCAGAATTTTGAGGAATATACTTTTATGTTAATCGCTACATTTAAAAATTGAACATCTGTTTAAATTACAGAAAATTCTCAAATTGATTTTCTAATTAACCAAATATCTCGAAATTATCAATATGAACATTTAATTCAGCTGGTTGGATAGGTGTATTTTCAAATTCATCTCCTTCTATCGGCTCATTCAATATCCAGCCTGGAAAAGAAAATGACAATAAGTTGTGACCTTCACATCAGTCGAACTTACTCAAATCTGCTTGACAACTATCGATAACACAACGCAACGATTGATGTATTTCGGCCAATTCCTGAAGAACTTGTCGGAGCTCATTTTTATGGTATGTAGCTCCACATGTTCGGCAAATTAAGATTGCCATCGAGAACGTTATCCTATTCAGACAAAACGCACAAACTCTAGAAGAGCACAAGAGAAGGTTTTATTTGAAGTCCATCTCAAATTTTACATACGGTTCTTCTCGTAATGTTCCTATAATATGATCTATGTAAGAGAACCTTCAACGAGAGTTGTGCAATGTGAGATCAAATGTACTTACCCATACTTCCACGACAGTTAGGACAGTTAGGATTTTCATTGTTATTATATCTTGTAACTAACCATAAAATAATACAACCTTTATGATATATTTGGGGACACGTGCCACATTGCTCTGATAAAGCCCTTATATTTTGTACGTTTTCCAAACAGATAGGACATAAACTAAAAATAAATAGGGACTATGCATATGATGAAGAGATTTTGAGAAGAATGAATACTATCACGCTCGAAATCGAAGCAAAGAGGATATGTGACGGTGGCAGAATTTTTGGATATAAAAACATAATTTTTATCTCTTGGCGTTTTTACTCTCTAGTTTTTGAATAAGTTTGCTCCTATCGTAGTAAAAAAAAGGAAATGAGTTCTAACCAAAAGATTCGTATTTTCGTTGTATACCAGTAGCATAGTTTACTTTTATTGTTTTCATCTATAGTACGATAAATAACGGATTTTCATACGGAGCAATTTGAGTAGAAATGCTTTTTTGGTTGTAAAATGGAAACGAATTAAATGAAGCTCTAACCTACAAGATTTACTTTGAAAAAAAAACACTTACCGAAGGGCATTTTGCTTTTCAGCCATTAGTCTTAATGGTTAATGTAAATGCGACAAATACATAAAAGAGTGTTTAGAACGATATATCACTTATTTTTCTTTTTTCGTCTACTTCCTTTTGCTGTTCTTAGTCTTAAAATGCCCAAATAGACGTGCACCAATGTTTAAAATATTGCCGTTGCAGTGTTGTTTGGTTTTTATTGATGACTGGCTTCCTACTTTCTCTTTTTTTCAGGAAATATATTTTCTTGGAATATTTTTTTCCTTTTCTTTTTGCAAAAAGTTAAAAATCACCAAATATAAGTTCATAAAAAATGCAAAGTAATAATCTGGACAAGAAAATTGAGAAAACTAAAGAAGAAAGAAAAGAAAAAAAAGAGGAAAAGAGGACGAGTTGGAAGCCAGTGGTGAGTATTCTCATTTTGCGTATTTTTCTTTTCTGTCTGCTGTCTTTCGCTATTCTGAATTTTGAAACAATTAAGTGGCGTATGATTCTCTTCGTGGTGTTTTCATCGGAATACATTTCGCTTTTTTATCGATGGGTATTTTCTTTCTTGCGCATTGTTATTCAAACGGGAAAATGTGTTTTTTCACATTAATTCTTTCTCCCTTATGTGATATATGAGCTGGCAGCTGTATGCATTTTGATTAGAATAAGGCAGACTTCATTGCAATCGACAATAATTTGTCTTCATAGAAACCGGTTTTAATTAACTAGACAGTGTACGCTAGGATCTACTAGTGCTTATCGTGTATCAAAGTGAAGCTGTCAAGTCCTTCGTTGAACTTCTGCCGGAAGTGCATCACTGTTTATCTGTTTTCTTCAGAGAGAAAATCTAAACGCACATTCTCATTTTGAAAAGTTCTATTTTATAGGATTGGAAAATGAGCTCGGCAACGATAGCAGCAGTTCCAGTTTCAGACGAACAGAAGAAGAATGACTTTTTCACTCAAGGTGATTGGTTATATTGGACATGCAAATTTCAAGAAGCTCGACAACATTTTCAAACTGCTCAGCAACAATTATTTTTAAACGCTTCTGATTTGATCCGATGTTACAAATCAATAGGTGCTGCTGAAGTCCAATTGAAAAACTATGATGATGCAATCAGCACTTATCAAAAGCAATTGAATAAACTGAATGAATGCCATTCTTTAGACAAACTTCAACAAATCATAACATGTTATATCTCAATCGGGAAAGTTTATTGGTTAAAACAACAATATGATCAAGCTATTGCCTATCATCAACAAGCACTTGAACTTACTGAATCTGACATGGATTCTACGATTAATCTTTCAGTTATTCATAAGAATCTAGGCAATATCTATACGAATGCAAAGCAGTTTGACTTAGCATATGAACATTTTCAAAAAGCACTACAAATTGATGGTCTACATTTGCCGAAGGATCATCCTAAGATTGCACAAACTTATGCAAACATGGCAGTGATGTATCAGTCGAAACAAGATTATCAGAATGCATTGATTTATTTTGAAAAAGCTTGTGAAATCTTTCTCAATACATTTTCAAAAACTCATGTGTCCGTTGAAAAGTTAAGAAAAACCATACGCGCCATCGAATTCTCACCAAGTTTACAGGTAAATACTTACCATATTTTCCCTGACTATGACTTACAATTTATTTCCAAACAGCCTGCGAACGCATCGGACATTCTCACTTTGAACAATACGACCATCATTTGGTTAGATGAACATATTGGACTTGATGAGAATTGTCGTGATTTGAAAAACGAATTTCGTCAAATTACAAACAGTTTCAAGATGGTTGACTCTGTCGAAAGTTGTCGACAATGCTTACCATATATCAAAAACAGAAAAGTCTTTTTCATCATTCAAGGTAAACATGTCCAAGAAATCATTCCTCATATTGTTCAAATTATGTCACCAGAAATGAAACCAGTTGTTTATGTTTTTTGTTTGCATATCGCATACTTGAATGAATGGGCACAAGAACAGGAATATATTATGGAAGGTGGTATGTTCGATCATGAAAAAGATCTTCTGGCCAGACTCACAAGTGATGTAAAGAAATATATTCAACAACAATCTGAAGAAAAGACAACATTTTTTGAACAGTTTAACCAAATATTCGAGCATTGTTGGCGTGTAAAAGAAGAAATTGCATCTCGTCATTCAACAAATATTGATGAAAATGCGCCTGTAGCTGTGGTCACACACTAAACTCGACTGTATAATAATCATGACTATTACTCGAACTCTACAGAATATTATTACTTTCAGCTGTTCTGAATGATAATCATTATTCTTCATAACAAGAACACTGATTTTTGCATATTTTTCTTGACAAATTTTGCACATTGGATGATTATTGTTGATTTCATCTTAGCAACAATGTTTATAGAAGGATATGAAGTACACGCATGTCATCATTTAACTTTTTCTGTAATTTATTAAGCAGTTAGAGATGGAAACACGCAAAAAATCAAGAGTATGTGAAAGTGAGAGACCTTCAGCAAATAGTAATCATGAATCATGTACATTGGATATGGTTTATGAGAAATTTTCCCCAACTTATATAAGATCGAATTCGGTAACTTCTACCGGTAAGAAGCTAAAAATCTATAGAGAAATGGCAAAGCGTGTCAATTTCGGTTCTATGGAAGAGATTGTATTAATCAACATGATGAATGAATAACATCGAATCTTTATGAAAGTCAGACGATGATAGTGTATCAATTACGTGTGCATATATAATTAAACTTTTCGCCATTGTTACGACATTTAGTTTCAATCTGAAGATAGATTTCACTCGATTTCTATCCGTAGAAGAATTACGTTGTGCTACTATACAGTTCTGCTGAGAGTGTAGGACTCATGAAATGAAATATATGGATGTATTGTTCACTGAATATGATTCGTTGCCGCCAGTTTCATTGGTTAAGACAGATGCTTCATAATTTTGCCGTGCTATATTCATGCTGGATGCTAGTTATATGGCATCGTCATACAAGATCTTCCACTCTAGAGACACTAACGTGTAAACGAGTGTTTTTATTTACTTCCGCATATTCTATCGATGCTCAAGTTGCATAAAGTGTAATTCACGCCTGTCTACAATGTTTGTGAAGCACACTAAACAAAACTTAAATACAAGAAAATAAAGCCAATTTTTCACTTTGTAATTTTGATCCACTACAAAGTTATTAGCTCTATATATTTATTTACTAATGAATCTGTATTCATGCATATAATTAAGTCAAGCTTTTCAGCCGAACTATTTCCATCAAATGAGCAAGTAAAAAGTTATCCAACTGATGCTTGCTTTTCAGAAATAGAAAAAAAACTGTAAAGTTGTGCGAGTTACTACTCCATTTTTTATGTATTTCCTTATCTTAAATTCTATCGAGCTGCGATTCGTGTCGTACTGACCCCGTACTATATTTTTTCCACCTACATGCCACGAGTAACTGCTGTCGTTGTCGTTGACGCATTCGAACCTGATTCAGGCAACGAATTCAGATTTCATTCAAACACTTGAACATGTTTGATTAATTGAGAAATAGTTCAATGATGATATTGTTCCATCGATTGGGAAAACTGCAGTTAGCACGAGATATGATGGACAGAAGCAAAAGCAGATTCCTCATTTGACCATCCTAGTGTTTTGTAAACAGTTTTCTGTGTAAAGCCCTATAAAAAATTGATAATTAAGGTGCACGCAATGCAAAAATCAAGTGAAATTTATTTTGACTTTTTCTCCACATGGTTTGATAGAGCATGAGCTGCTGATCACGATGGACTACTTTTTATTCGTTCAAGAAGCTAATTTGTAGTCAGAAATCGCAAAATCCTTGAAAAACTCGCCTTTTCTGAAAAATCGGGTTTTTGGACAAAAC